GGTCCCAGGTTCAAGTCTCGTCGCACATGCGTTTTTTTTCCTCGTCTTTGTCGTTCTTTTTTCTTTTATTGTTTTTTTTTTTTTTATCGCAGTTGTCATAAAAACAACTGTTTAAGCCGTAAAGATGAGTCATTTTTTAACAATAGAGGACAGAAAATCGTAACAGCGTATGACAGGCATATAAATAAAACCCGGCATAAAGACAAATGAACCTCGCTTAAATGAAACTCGAAATGTTAACCTTTACTCGAGTAATGTTCTTGATCGAAGGCTTTTTTTTCTCTATTGATGAGGTAAAAAGTAATACAGAGAGCGCGAGGTTTCTCTCTCCTTGAATTCGTCAATGAGAAATTAAGAAATGTCTCCTTGTTGAAGTTTTATGAAAGGAGTAACAGTGGTTACGCAATAAAGCCAAAAAAACAGTAAAACGACAAACAGACACCAAACCGCAGCGGAATAGATTGCAGGTAAGACTTTTTTATTCATTTCATTTAAGAAAAAGTAAGGTTTAGCGTTATTTGGCGTTCGCAGATCTCAGTAATATATTTCCCATACAAAGTCTCTTATATTTTCAACGGTCGCCTGTAACGCGACACCGGCGCGTCACATATGTTATGTATTAAAAGTACATGACACCCTTCCCTCGCAACGTGAGTTTGGGCTGCCTGTGCCAAAACACGTTTGGCGAAAGTCTTCAAGACCTGTCATAAGCCTTTTTGATTGTCAGGCCTCCCATGACCACGCTGATGACCTTTGGGCTTGTCACAGGGCTTGTTACGCTAACCTCTTCACCGAGGGCGCATTATAACCACACGACACACTAGATGACCCTATTTTCAAAGAAACCTGAAGGAAAGGTAACTAATAGACTTGATTATCACAACTAAATACTGCAGAAGAAATTCCACAACATTCCCAAATCGCCGTAACAAATTACGAGAGAGGGTATTGCCCTCAGCGGTTAACATAAGTCGTTTTAGTCCATGGGGTCATGGGGTCTTCGTTTTAGTCAAAGGGGTCTTCGTTTCATGGGGTCTTCGTTTTAGTCCATGGGGTCTTCGTTTTAGTCCAAGGGGTCTTCGTTTTAGTCCATGGGGTCTTCGTTTTAGTCCGTGTGGTCTTAGGGCTTCGTTGTTGGGTCTCCGTTTTAGAAACACCCAACTCGGTCGCGATCACGCAATGAAATAAACACACACACGGAACAATTAGTTCAAAAACACAATGAAAAGAAGCTATTTGGTCCTTAACGAAGAAAAAAAACAAGGTGACAAGAAAGAGAAGCTAACATAATGATTACACTTGACGGTAGAAATAGCAAGAAGGTCGAATTATAACATTGATCTCAGAAAACTTCGCGTGAACAAAATCACCGGCCGCCGAAACCACAAAGCGGCTCTAAATAAAAAACCTACCGACTCTCTGCAATGATTTCATTAGCATTTCAGTTTCGAAGACAAGGGCAATTTTGCTGTTTAAGATAAAGATTAAGCTTAACGGAATGTTTGAACTAAACGAAAGAATGCCAGGGATGCGATCCGCTGAATATCAAGCGATAATCCCGCTAAAATTTTTTATAATTATACATAATTATGCGAAGTAGAGTCGGGCCTGCATCACAGTACGTTAGTAAACCACAATTTAGCAGGAAGAACTTTTTATTTAAGTGTCCGGTAAGTGTGTTTATTGTATGATTCCTCGGCTTATTCTCTGCGATCACATAAATCCCACCAGAGAACTCGTGCACAGAGATCTGACTTTGCATAATGTCTTTACCTTTATGCTTTGTCGAAATTTTATAAGCATCTATCCGGGACCCGAACCACTGCCACCTTCTCTTTGACCTGAGACCAGACCAGGCTCTATTTTCCTGTTGCTTTGTGGGAGAGCTGGTAAAAATTTGGCCAGTTCTCAGACGTTGCATAACAACAGACTGATAATGATTTTGGAACCATGACGCTGCAATACTTCTTTTCTTTGGCGATTGTTGTAGTAAGTTAAGTTCCGTCACGTTACGCTTGACATTAATTTTCCTTTTAGCTTTCTCTTCTGCTGAAGTCCCCTGTCCCTCTTTATTATAAGTTACAAAATGTACATTTAATTTGCAGTTACCTCTTGGGAATTTTTAATTCATTATTTTCGCCTCAGGGTTCAGCAAATGTTTCTGGCATTTGCCCTGCAGGCCGCGTGAACGTTCTCCTCACATGTTAAGGGGAATAAATTATAAATCTACTATAAAATTCAGAAAATAACCCCGTGTAAATTATTTATTAGGGTAATATTATATTTCAAATTCCCTGGGCTCATAATAATTATTTGTCAACAGTTTTTCAGTGTACAATTATAATCTAGTAATTTTGAAAATTTGCGACTGTGTGATGCTCTAGTTGTTGAAGTTAATATCTGATGGAATGAGGAATGTATCAAAAGTGGAATACTGGGTACCTTGTAATGGGCTTTTTGCAATAGTTGGTCACATGATCAAATTTCCGTAAACACAGTTCACTTTGGGAAATGACGTTAGCATGAACTGAAAGGTCTTTAATACTAAAATTAGGTAAGCTGCAAATTTTCAACCGTATGTCTCGAAAGCTAGAGTGCGCCACTGAGTGAATCCCGCAAAAGATCGAGAGATGGCCCCCTCCAAAAGCGTTCAAGGGCCATTATGGCCCTTTCCTTCTTTAATTCCCTGGGCTTAAAAATGTCTCTGTTAATTCAACTACAATACTTTTCCAATAAAACAGAATTTTTAATCTAAAGAACAACGACTCCATACCTTTGTTAGTCTGCTACACAGCCCTTGTACACAACATGAAAATCAATCGATGAATCTTCTTGAGTTTACCTGATTTACCGTGAGTGGTCTGGAGACCACTGAGCCTCGACTTGGCTTTTGTAATATCGCAGGAGCTGATCGGTATCCTTCATGGCGTCTCGAAAAATGCGAAGACCTGACAAACGCATTTTCGAGGTCTATCGAAAGTTTTTTCTCAGTAAGTAACGAAAAAGTGGATAGAGGCGAAGCAGTTCAGAAGAAGCGAAAGGAAGCAGATCTTGACGGTGAAGTGGAAAATGAGATGAAAAAAATTACTTAATATTTCTGATTGTACTGTTTGCTTTATTACCGAAGATTTCCTCTAGTATGTATAAAGAGGGATGCTCCATATCAGCTTCAAATAAACTACCATTTTCATTTCCTTAACTTTCCAACTGTTTCCTCTCTTTTGCATATTAGAAAGATACTGGTACATTAGCCCTTTCTTGAAATATCTGGCCCCAAAAAATGGGTTGTAGGGGCCATTTTGGCCCTCACGCAGAAATTTCTGGCTGGAACACTGATTTTTACAGGGCTCAAATTAGATCAGAATATTAAAATGCTTTTACTGTATATCAGTCATATGCAAACATTCATGACTAACGTATTTCACGGTTCTGTTAAGTGAAATGTATTTTTTGTTTTGGTTTGTGTATAAAACCTTGTGTATCTCGTTTGTTCTATACCTGTCACTATATTATTATTGCTACCCCAGTTTGTGGAATTTTTATTTTGTTATTTTGATTAAAAAACTGATAGTAGTTTGAGGGACGGTTTGAGCCATACACTGGAAGATTGACAGTTTTTATTAAGCAGGTTAATTCTGGCCATGGTGACTTTACATAAGAGCAGTACATCCAGCTTGAATTTTGAATTTATGCCTGATCAGCCAATTTGTACAGGGTTCCAAATAACCTTTTTCATCAACTGCATATCAGCCTTCCATTTTTGCATGATTAAGCTGCAGTAACAATGTGGCACAAGCACAAATGCTTATTACCGTAGTGAGACGTCAGACCACTAGATGTTACTGGTTATGGGTTCAAATAACAGCATTGTTGCATCTTTAAGATAACTTCCTAAACAACACCTTTTTTGGTTTTTGTAAAACAGTTAACAAAAGGTGTGAACAGAAATCTTTATTAGTTAAAAAATATTTTGAAATATCTTCCAGAAAATTGACATTTACCAAAGCTGAGGAAATAACTGTGCTAAAAATCAGTCCAGATTTATTTATTCATAGCATTTTTTTCCTGAACCATCTTTTAGTAATGTACTGCATGGGTTTATGTTGTAGTTAATTTTTTATCTCAGGTAATTTTTATTTTTCTTTTGTTTCAACTTCATTAGCAAACATTACCATACCCAAAAACAAAAGAAAAACAAGAATTATCTGAGATAAAAAATTAACTACAACATAAATTTATTTTAAACCTTCGGCTTTTTTAGTTATTGTTCTGCGAGTTTTAGTTCAATTCTTTTTAAGGGGATGACAATTTGACTTTTGAGGGGGGTATGGGTGATTTGGTTTGGGTACATGTAAGAATTTTTTTTCCCAAACCTCTGGTGATAGATTTTTTCGCCTCACACACAAAGCCATTGTATGGCAGCTATTTCCTTGAAATCAGTCTGCAGGATAATTTTTTCTGAAATCATTCACTCCCTCAGAAGTCAAATGGTCGGCCCTTAAATTATTTTTTTCTGTTTGAATTTAAGCCTTTTCAAATTTCTTTTTTTCATTCCCCAAACTACTGGATATAAAACATTAAAGTACCTTATTTGACATGGAAATTCACTCACACCTTAACATGACAGCAAAAATAAATTCTCTTATCTTCAGACTAACTATGCACCTGTACAGCTGCAGGACAAAATATAATTGTTTGGAAAAGGGTCAATCTAAAGAAAGTGATAATGATTATAAATTATCAACAAGATGTAATAAATATTTATTTTTTGATTTTATGTGTAATTCATTTCCTACAGTGTGTATTTAACTTCATTTTAAAATACTATTTTTTCCTATTTTTCATACTAACTATGCACCTGTACACTAGCTGCAGGACAAAATATTGTTTGGAAAGACAGTGATAATGATTATAAATTATCAACAAGATGTAATTAATATTTATTTTTTGATTTTATGTATAATTTATTTCCTACAGTGTGTATTTAACTTCATTTTAAA